GCTCTGCTCCGAGCAGCACACCTTTCAGCAGCGGCTATTAATAGAGCTGCCGGCTGGAGTGAAATTCTCCGCTGGTGCCTATAGTTACCAGCCCCACAACAGTGCAGAGCTTTTCAAAACAAGCTCCAGAGGAACACTCCCGGAGGAGCAGCATGCCAGAGGCCAAATAAAGCTTGATGAATGATAGTGGGAATCCAGCACCAAAATCCAGAAGCAGGGCCCTAAGATGGAGAGCGCTGAGCCCGCAGGCTGCCCGCCTGGCACAGCCTGATCCTTACTGCAGAAAGAAGTAGCGCTTCACAGGGTTTAAACGCCCTCAGCAGAGAGGAAAACAATTTCAGATATTACTTTAAAAATTGGCCCAATACATAAGCATTTAACTACAATGGTAATACAACTGCTTTCCCTTCTTAATCGTACAGTGAAAGGCACTTGCACAGTGCAGGATCAAAGTGTTTCTCAAGGCATCGTACGTTAATGCTCTTGCAGGAGATAAGCATTACTGTGGCTGATAGAAGAATTACCTCAGGAAAACTGAGCAATCTCCCCTCCAGCCACTAGCGCTCCCTCCTTACGGCTGCAGTTCAGCCCATTTAACTAAAACTGGGTATGGGCAGGGCACCCATCTCTTCCAAAACCTTCTGTATGCAGAGACTTCGGAAGAGGTTTTATAGATGATGTTAGGACTGTGTTCACTGGACAGAGAGCCCAGAAACACATCCCAGAGACCCATCAGCAGGAAAACCTGAGTCCAGGTACTGAGCCTGCTAAGGAAATCTCTCCCTTGCCCTTCAAACACAGGTATTATATAGCTGAAGGGTCAAACTCATGTGGAAACATGCTTGCCTGTACATCGTCCCAGGATAGCAAACCCAAATGGTGGAAGAAGATGCTGGGTCAGCATCAAATTTTTGCTGCTCACAAGGCTCTCTGCAATTCCCAAGTGAGACCAATAACCAAACCAGCCAGGCGCTACCACCAACAGCACTGCAGCAGAGCTCAGCACAAGTCTGTACCCAGAACAAGATGTAAACTACTTTGTTAGTCCAGAGTTATTTCAAACTCGTGTTTCAGAGCTGCATGCTGCATGAACCACGAGATCCTCTAGTCTTCATTTAAACCTGTGAGCAGTGGTACGCGGCCACCTTCCTCATCACGCTGGGAGGGTCATGAGCCTCTCAGCAGAACTGTCACCATGGGACCACCAACACAGATAGCTGCCACCTCCTCATAATGTAACCTCTCATCACCAACACCAGGTATCTTTGTGCACGTTTTGCAAGCTCCAAGGTACAGTTCTCAGATTTTCCAGTGTTGCATAAGAAAATATTCAATTCCTCTACCCCTTCTCTTTTGGATCAACACTGTCAAAACAGATTTTCACTTCCACCTTCCCTCTGCTCTTGCCATTCCTCCCCTTTGCACCCAGACTGTACTGAATCCTCTCAACACACACAAGAGAAAAAAGTTACACAGTGCCTAGAAAATGGCATTAGGAGCAAGCTCTTCCTTTTAATTAGACACCTCTCTGGTAGGGCAGCCAGCGGTGGTCTAGACCTGGAAGACTGCCATGGGCTGTATTAGCTAATAAGCTGGGCGATCCTTCTCCAAGCAAGTCGATTTCTCCTTGGTTATGTTTAATTACATTTTAAAATAGCTCACTGGCTTCCTTCGGCCTCCCCAGGGACTCTTTGCAGCAGTGGTCAGTTCAGCCCCATGCACTGAGCTCTGCTATCGGATTTGGATAATTCAGGAGAGCAGTCAAACTCCAGTTATCTACTAAGAATGGGATGGAGAAGCAGTTTCACCTGCCACATGCCCAGCCCAGTCCCACTCAGGGCTGTGCATTGTCCAGTAACAGATACAGCCACTGCTCCTTCTCAGAGGAGCAGAGGGCAGAGCATTCCCTTGCTGCCAGCCACCTGAAGGTTTCAGGAAAAGTTTGCAGCACAAAAAAGCTTTTGTCTCTCCAGCTCTGTGTTTTGCTAACCAGGTGAAGTCCCCAGATGCTGACTATGGCCTCCTCCACCACTTTCGCAGGCGGATGTCACTGTGAAACATGTGGAGACCCTTTCTTTCCTGGGACAGGCACCTCTTTGTACATGTGGTCCATGCAGCAGTCACTGCTCCTTTGAGAGCCATCTTGGACCAAGCATGTAACCTTGGCGTCTTCTTCTCAAAAATGCATGCACAAAGGAAAAACAATCCCAAAAAATCAAAGAAAACAAACATCCCAGGAACAGAGGGCAAGGAGCTGGCAGCAGGGCCACCTTTTCTCACTGGTGTTCAACATAGCAGCTTTGTGAAATTCCCCCTGCACTGCCAGGTGAAGGAAGAGGGAGGAAGCCAGGGGGGTGTCAGTTTATTTACACGCCAGCAGGACATCAGGGCTATGTAAAAAAAGTTATCCAAGTATCTTTCTTACTAACACCGTTAAGGTTGAGAATTGCTTCCTTTCTTCCTCTCGGGTGCTGGAGCAAGCTCCTGTGCAGCACAGCATGGTGCCTGCCGAACTTTGGGCTCTGCCTCTCACTTGTTTTCATAAAAAGGGCTGGTCAGCTGGGCACAAGGCAAATGACAAGCAAATAAGCAGGAGGAGCCTGCCAGCTGTTGCATGCTAACTAGCTGGCAGGACCACAGGGCTGCAGGTGCTCCATTTCACACCTCCCCGGGGTCAAAGGCAGTGCCCTGACATAGCCAGCCTGCAGCAAGGGTGCTCAGCACCACATTCTGTCTTTAAATGCCACCCTGTGAAAAGGACCATCACACTTTGCTGGCAAACCAAGGCATCCCTCCCCAGATGGGGATGCAAGGCTGGCTGTTAACTGCCTTTGCTGCATGGTAAACATAATATTCCCTTTGACTACTAGTTTAAAAAACAATACAGAAGGGCATGAAAACTCTAAGATCTGGTATTCAACCACCCTTCAGCTGGCCAGCCCCACAGAAAGCATTGTTAATTCTAATGAAGTCCAGCCTACCAATCCGTACAGGAGATGGTCCAAGGGGACTGGCCACTGGCAAGTCCAGCACTGAGATGTGTTTTGGGGAGCTAGTGGGTCCCAGTCCACAGGCACCTCTCCCTGGGAGAAGCTGAATCATCTCCCCCCAGCACTTCCACAGAGCACCGTCCAAGGGGTAGGGCAAGGCACCAGAAGTCCTAACAGGGAAATGGTACTGGCTATTCCTCTTGGAAGCAAAATGCCCATTTATAAAAGATAATCTGTTTTGCAAAAGATTGAGGTGAGCAGGTGAGCTTGTTGAGGAGCGGTGGCTGTGCAGACCCCCCAGCATCCTTCCTCCCACCCAGGGGACCCCTCCTCCCCCACATGCACAGCCAGCAGCTTCTTCAACAAGAATGGCAGGAAATCAGAACCAGAAGGGAAGAAAAAGCCCTGGGATAAACATGATAACTCGGAAGGAACAACTCGGAACACTTCACAGACAACTCGACCCGCCTCCATCCTGCCATTTTAAGGGTGGAGGAAAAGGTTAAAAAAAACCCCAACCCAGAACTGTCCCACATTCATGCAGCTGCAAACACGTCAGGTATCAATTAACACTGTCATCAGAGCTCGTCATCTTGCCCTTGGTCAGCCTTATACCCCGGAAACAAGGCAAAGAGGCCTGAAACAAGGCCAGTTTTGACATGGTTAAGCCTTACACCTCCCAGAGGTGGGAACCTCCCCCCCCAAGAGCTTCCCCATGCAGCCCCACGGAGGAGTCAGCAGGCAGGGGCTCTAGCCTGGCAGCACAGCTCCAGGTGCCAAGGCAGGGTTTGCTCTCTCTGGAAGGCATCCCTCCCCTTCCCACCTCTCCAGCCCTCCTTGCTGCATTTTCTGCTGTGAGAAAACATTAAGAAAAACCCCCAACTAATCCTTGACTACAGAGTGGGGTGTCAAAAAAGGGTATTGGACAAGGGCCACATCCTGGCCATGCAGCCAGTGCCCAGCAATCGGTGCCTTGCCTGGCAGGGTGGGGCTGGGATCACTTTGGAGAAAAAAAAGCATTTTGGGGAATGGAAAACAGCCTGTTAAAAACTGAAACCAGCAGCCTGCTCGGGCACATCTCGTTGCCCCGGGGCGCAGGAGCAGGGAGAGAGAGTCTCTTGCCAGCCAGCCCCGCGCTGCCGGAGGCTGTTTGTAACCGGGACAAACCTGGTTCGCTGGGAAACGCCGCTTTTTGCTAAATTAGCTGCATGTCTGGATGGATTATTTCAGGAGAAACTTTCTCAGGAAAGGCAGCCTCTCCAGCTTGGATAGAATTTTCATCCTAAAATAACTTCCCAGGCTGCGGGGGCAGCGGTCCCCGGCTCGAGCGGCGAGGCCGGGTCTCGGCACTCCCGCCAGCTCCGGGGCGGGGGGCGCAAAGCCAGCCCCGATCGCCCGTGTTTTTTGAACACCCCCTCCTCTGCGGCGGGCGGCAAGGCCGGCGCCTCCCATCCCTCCGCCTGGCAGCGGATGCATCCCTGCATCTCTCCCTCCCTCCATGGCTGGGGAGCGCCGCTTTCCCCGGCGCAGACCCACAGCAACAGGGGCTGCGGGAGCGGCAGCCCCCCCGCCCACCCTCTCCCCCTCGGCTCTCCCCCCCCTCCTTCCGCTCCGAAAGGGCGCGTATAAACATCTGTAACGGCTGGACGCGAGCATCTTAAAGGGCTTTTCCAACCTCAAACCAGCCTACGATTCTACCTCCCTCTTTCTGTATCTATATAAAAAAATACATAAATAGATATACACGTACAATAAATATATATATACATATGCATGCGTTAAAAAAAAGCAAAGGATAAGCAGCCCTTCCTCCCCCCCCCAAAAAAAAAAACACAACTAAAACCAAGCAGCTCCTAAGGCACATCCCAGGCAGCAATTCTCAGTGCTGGGGGGCAAGAAAGAGGTTAAACCCAGGCGCGGGCAGATGAGCCATAGTGCAGCCCCGTTATTTAGAGGCTGGGGGGGCTCAGCCCCCCCCCCTCTCCCCCTCCCCGCCGCCCCGGTGCTCACCCAGAAGATGAAGTTGAAGACGAAGAGGAGGTATTTGATACACTTGGTGCAGCCTTCCACCCCCATGGCGACAGATCTCCCAAATCTCTGCTGCTGTGCTGGGCTGGGGCGGCGGCGCGGGCGGAGATAACCTGCCCCGCCCCGCGCCCCCCGAGCCCCGCCCCGGACACGCCCCTGGACACGCCCCCTGGACACGCCCCCCGCTCCATGAACGGGGGGTCGGTACACGCCCCCCCCGCCCCTTCCCGACACCCAGGGTTGGCTGCTGCTTTCCTCCTTTTTTTTTTCCTCTTTTTTTCCCCTTTCTTCTACTCCCCTTTTCTTTTTTCCCCTTACCTCATTTTTCCTTTTTTCCCCCCTTTTTTCCTTTCCTTTTTTTCCCTTTTTTCCCCCTTTTTTTATTTTTTCCCCCCTTTTTCTTTTTCCTTTCTTTCCTCTTTGGAATTTTCTCTTCCTTTTTTTTCCTTTTTTTCTTTTATATTTTTCTTCCCCCCCCTTTTTTCTTTATTTCCTTTTTTCTCTTCTCCCTTTTTGCCTTTTTGTTTTTCTCTTCCCCCATTTTTCCCTTTTTCCTTATTTCCTTTTTCTTTTCTCTTCACCCCTTTTTACTTCTTTTTACTTTTTTCCCTGTATTTCCTTTTTTCTCTTCCCCTTTTCTCCTATTCTTCCTCTTGCCCAGTTTCCTTTTCTCTTTTCTGTTCCTCCCTTTTGCTTTTTTTCTTTCTTTCCTTTATCTTCCTCCATTTTTTCTCACCTCTTCCCTCCATTTTTATTTTTTTTTTCCCCTTTTTTAATGTGTGTTCTTATTTGTTTTTCTTCGTTTTCCTCTTTTTCTTCTCTTTTTCTTACCCATCAGGGGCAGCTCACAGCAAAGTTGCCTACACACAAGTGGCAGCCACGGGGGCAGAGAAGCATTTCCTCATTCTTTTCACCCTCTAGTTTTATCTTAAGCTCTGATCACCACACACTTTTTGCCTAAGCTTGTCACTTTAGTATTGCAAGTGATTGCATCAAGTTCATTAGAACCACTTGGTTCTAATGCTTTCCCTCAGTTACTGGGTCACAAGAGCATCTGGGGGGCTTCAGGGCTGCCGACCAAAGAGATTTGGGTCACATGTGTCCACAGTTCAAGTAAGGCTCACACTATGACTTAGAAATTTTAGTTAACTCACCCCCAAAGTTATGCAGTAGAAGCACAATGAAATTTTCCAAGCTTTTGGCTGAGGCCCACTTTGGTCCACTTGCTCGTCCCCAGAAATATAAATTGCTCTCCCCCATGTTATGCTTGCAGCAAGCTCATTTGCCTCTCTAGGGGCAGAGGAGTAAGTCACACAACCAAAGCGTAAGAGGATGCCTGGAAAAGGCAGCAGCGAGCAGCTCCAGCCAAGGTCGGCACCTTACCATGCTAAATATGAACCTGGCACCCGCCTGCAGCCTCATCTGTGGAAACCTGCCCTCTTTCTGCCTGGGCACTTTCCTCGAGCAGAGTATTTCAGGGAGCAGCTTCTGAGTCAAATATTTTCACACTCCATCTGATAGAGTCTTCCCTGCCATGCATCCCATAGGCAGGAATGCGCTGTTAGCTAAGCACGCATTTCCTAAACACATACGTTGAAAATGAGTCAACTTTTTCCAAAATCATTCTGTTGCCCTCATGAATGAGTTAGTCCAGGGCTCTGTCACGTTCATCAAAACCTTCCTTGCCCCTCAGTAACAACCCACAGCGCTCCATGGCAGTGGGGACCAGGAATGAATGGAAGTTGGCCCTGTTCCCTAATTACTTATGCTGAGTATGTCCTCGATTGTGGGCTTGCCATGGATTCATAACCCCTTTGTCTCTAAGCCACATTCACTCATCCAGACTTACCAACAAAGCCTGAGTTTCACGAGGCTATTTATGCATGTAACCGCTATCCCAAATTATCAGCACGACCCATCTGGTTACAGCAATAGCTGTGATTCTATGTGGCTCCTGCTCATCAATCCAAAGGATAACAGCAGGATCCTGAAGCTGCTCACTTGCTACATCACAGCACACCACATTTTTTTTTCTACACCTCCATCCTTTCCAGCTATAAATATTGAAACAAAAATACACCCACCCCCACCACCGCAAAAAAAAAAAGTAGAGGTTGGAGACAGAAGACTATGTGAAACAAGGAGCCTCTCGTGCACTTAGGCAGCTGTTTCCAGAAAAACTCTCAGAGGTGCTGCTTGGAGAGTCTGTGTGAGGGAGAGAAAGGAACCAGCTGCAAAGCAATAAGGCCTTCAGCAGCAGCAGCCCCATCAGCTATGAGGAAAAATGACTCTCAAACCAACTTTTGTGCACTGGAGAGCAGGAAACCCCAGCTGCAATCACTGCCACAACGTTGGCATTGAAACTGCTTCCAGGGAACTTGGGATAGCTCTTTTTTCGTGGTTTGTTTTTTTTTTTTTCCCCTCTGTTGCTTTTCTTTTCTTGTTTTCTGCCTTTTTTCCTCCTATATTGGGGAGTGAAGGAATAAGGAAAACAAAAAATAGACCTTTTCCTATCCTCTGAAAATTGTATTAGCAAACAATTTCATTTGGAGCTAATATAGTCCTGTTTCTGGGACCTTCCTTCAGCTTCTGTTGGAGTACATGTTGCTCAGGGACAAATGTGGACCTGGTGGGGAGAGCAGGGGCACAGCCTCACCATCTCCTATATCAGGAAGCTCCCGGTTACAGGCTAAAGCCTACTGGGTTTAAACTGGCCATACCAACAAAGTCCTCTCCAAAAGTTGGAGGTGGAAAAGGATTTTGAGCTTTGTCCATTTTTCTTGTTGGTGTTATTTTAAGCAGCTCAGCTGGGTACATTTGAAAACTTTGACCTTAAGGTACAGGAAGAAACAAGCCACCACCATAGCACAGTGACAAGATAACATATACTGTTTCCCAGTACTATGCATAATTTCAGGTGTTGCATACTCATTTCTCATGTTGAGTACTCATTTTTCACGCTGTGCTACTTGCTGTACAGCCCATAAAGTACCACCACTGCATTCCCAAGGCTCTCAGTGGCTTTATCAGCTCTTTATAAAAAGCTGCTTTATAAATAAGTAAAACTAATTTGCAAAAATTCAGTTCATCTCTCGGTGCCACGTGTTGGTATCATGTGTGAGTGCTATGAATAGGGCTGATGACTTCCCTTTTTAAGGAGGGTGGGCTGGTTGCAATACTCATAGTGCACCATGATAACGCAGTTGTTCACAGAGCAGCCAGCTGCAGGCAGAACTGTGAAGAAGCTACCTACCTCCCAAACCTTGCATCATTGAAATAAAAAGGTAAACTCTAAAATAAAAAAAAAAAACAAAACAACCAAAACACCGAATTAAAAAATTCCCAAGCGGACATTTAAATGTGCTTTTGCGACTGGGTTTGCAGGCAGAGCGAAGCAGCAGAGAGCGGTCTGTTGGGCTTGGGTCGTTGGGGTTTTTTGTGAACCTGTTTACAGAAGTCAGTGTCATGATTGTGGGTTTTGGTCTCTATGGGTATGACTCACCCACTTCTGTTAGAGCAGAAGCAGCTTGAGCTGCCTCCCAGTCTGGGTTTAGCAGGACGACCCTTGCCAGCGGGACTCGGCAAACCCAATCCCCAGGACTCTGAGCCTGCTGCCTTCTAGCAGCTCTACCTTAACGGCCCTATTGTTTCCTAGAAAGTGATGGAGGGAGATGAAGGGAGAGGACAGACACACATCCTCCTCACCTCTTACACCTGTGACTGGAGGGCTGGCGGCCAGGGTGTGGAAAGATTAGCATCCAGGCAGGCTCTATTGACCAGGGTCTCTGGGAGATTTGGGAGAGCAGATGGGAGTCCCTCATCCACTGAGGACCACAGCATGGCTGCATGGCTTAGGCTTGCATGGCAATCCACCTACCCTCCTCAATGAGCACAGAAATGGTGAACAAACCATGGGAATAAAACACACATCATCTTGTGGGTGAGGTACTAGTTAGCTTTTAACCACTACCTCTTATTTTTAGTGGAAAATATGACAGAAATAGCCTGGATTTCCAATTTACCTGTGGTGGTAAGAAAACAAACAACAGCAGCATTACCAAAGAACTTTAAATAGGACATTTTGGACTTGCATGAAAAGAAGCTCAGAAATTTATCCTGTGGGAGGCTAATAGTCCCAGAGCTCATACGAGTAACTTGCTAGGCACCCAACAAACAATACTATTTTTCAAGGCAGGGACACGAGCAAGGGCACCCTGCAGTGTCTGTACTGGCCTATGGCAATGGGAAGGTGGAGCTCCATTGCCTCAGGATGGACCTGTCTACACCCCTGCAGAGCCAGCCAACACTTTCATTTTGAGTAGAAAAAAAATAATACTAGAAATCTCATCGCCATAACTAAGGGGACATTTTCAGAATACCTTTTCTGTGCCCCAGCAGGAGCAGCTGGTACCTGTTCATTCCAAAGATCCCCATGCCCATATCTGCAAGTTCAGCCAAAGCACTGTGATAGCCCAGGGGGTCACACTTGCCTCGCAGCCTCTGGGGAGGGAGATGCAGCAAGCAGAGACCTGTAACTGCGCCTGAAATTTCTGTTTCTAATAAACTCAACAAATGGTTCCCATCCGTGTGGCCTGTCTCTCTGCCATCTTTAAATATTTATATCAACGTATCTATGGTGATAGGTTAGGTTATATAAGGGGGGGAGTATGGGGAGCAGTGGGGAAGGAGAGCATAAGCTCTTGCTGGAGCTAAAGCCAAGGGAGAGCAAACCTGAGCGGGTTTCCCATCCACGCAGACACTCCCTCTTCTCAGATCATGAGCCCAGAAAGTGAACATTCATTTTTCTGGGGGCATCAGGGAGGGCCGAGCCACAGCTGGGCTGAGCTGTGCTTTGCGAGGTGCCATGTGGAAGAGCAGGAGCCCAGCCCATCGATGCAGAGAGCTCTTATTGTATAATCAATGTATAATTCATTAGTAGGTGAATAAAGAATGGAATAGCCTATTGCTGATGCATTGGGGCTAAAAAGAAAGAGAGCACGTCCATGAGCAAGCTGCTACACACAGGGGTTAAACAATACCACTTAGTGATGCTGACAGGCGAGAGCGGAGATTTTGTCTTAGAATAATATAAACAACCCAGCTAGTGGGCTTC